TCGCAACCCTCAGTGTCGCGCCCGTACCGGACCGGGACCGGCAACGGGATTGCAACCCTCGGGGCTGCGCCCGCACTTCGCTCAGCCAGTGAGCAAGAACCGGTCTGTATGTGGGATCCGAACCCTCAGCGGGAGCGCCGCCGCACTCCCAAGTGGCNCATCCTTAAATTCTTTGTTCCTCAGGCAGTAGATCAAAGGGTTCAAGACAGGGGTGAGGACCGTATACGAAACGGAAATGAGCTTGTTGGAGCTCCGTGTATCAATGGCCTGGGGCCGGACATACATAAAAAGCAAGGCCATGTAAAAGATGGTGACCACGATGAGGTGGGAGGCACAGGTGGAGAAGGCTCTCCAACGGCCGGTGGCCAAGGGGATGCGCAGGACAGCCAGGGTGATGTGTCCGTAGGACAGCACGGTGGCCAGCAGCGGGAACACCAGGATAAGAAAGGCCAGGATGAAATCCACCAGCTCTGCGGTGGAGAAGTCTGTGCAGGCCAGCTTGAGGATGGGGGAAATGTCGCAGAAGAAGTGGTTCAGGACACTGGAGCCACAGAATGTGGCGCTGGAGATAAAGGACACCTTGATCACGGAGATGGTGAAGCCGCTCACGAAGGAGAAGATCACCAGCTGGACGCATAGCCCCGTGGTCATGATGGCTTGGTAGCGCAGGGGGTGGCAGATGGCCACGTAGTGGTCGTAGGCCATGGAGGCCAGGAGCACACACTCGGTGCACACCAGGGAGCTGAAGAAGTAGAGCTGGGTCATGCACCCGACGAAAGAGATGCGTTTCCGCTGCAGGAGGAAACCGTCCAGCATCTTGGGGATGATGTCAGACACGTACCAGATCTCCAAGAAAGACAAGGAGCTCAGAAAGTAGTACATGGGCCTGTGGAGGGGGGAGCTGCTCCAGACGGTGAGGACAATGGCAAGATTCTCCACCAGGACACAGAGGTAGGTGAGCAGAAAGGCGAGGAAGAGCACATACTGGAGCCTGGGGGCCGTGGGAAAGCCCACCAGGATGAACGTGCCGACCTTGGTGATGTTCTCCCCCCTCATCCTCCTGTCCTCGGGGTCACAGGCCTGCAAAACATCAGTGCACAAGCGTGAAGGGCTGAGGGACAGTGGGGAGGAGAGAAAGCAGAGCTAAACCTTCAGGGTGGGTTTGGGACCAAAGGTGGGACACATGGCTCCTGCAATCATCTGGGAGGAACAGAAGCACATCTCCAAGGTAAGCATTTTACACCAGATTGTGTATGTGTTAGGTCACTCTTAGATTACGTCTCTGGAATACCCTGCACACCTCCCCCTTCAGCTATCCCACAGTGATCTTGAAATGGTATCAACTTTTTTTTTTTTTTAAATCTGGAGTTCTCAAGGAATCTAATAACAATAAAGGAAGCCCAGAGCTCTTTGCACCCTGTTCTCCTCCAGGCACAAGGCACAAGGTCATCTGGGTCTGCGGTTTGGTGTCT